AGAAATTTTAAAACAGAAATGCAGAGTAGCTACATATATTATTTGGAATTCTTCAGCTCAGGAGATTCGTTTATTTTCTGATTCTTATACAATTTTTTATAACCCAACATTTTAATACTAGGTCTTTTTAACACTTCAGAACTTCAAAAGAGCCCTGCTGGTATTTCTAGTAATCCAGAAATATTTTATTTCAATAACAAAATGTGTGAAATTATCACATCAGATTGCAGAGTGGGGGGAAAAAGCCAGTGATTATTTTACATCTTTTCCCCGCTATCAGTACCCAAAAATGTTGTAAACTAACAAAAACAAGGCCAAGAGCCTCTCTTGTCCCACTGCCCAGAACTGATCAATATACACATTTCAACTCATCAGCAGTAATTTTCCTTCCATACACGATTTGTATATGGATTGTCCTATGTCATTTTGTTTCTTGCCTTTTCCTTTTTTTTTTTTTTTTTTTTGGCTTATTATCACATCACAACCATTCCTCCAACATTGCTGTACTGTAGGGTTTCGAAGCTGTTATTTCCAGCAGCTGCTAGCTCCTGTGTCAGGTGGCTTATAGTGTCCACTGCGTCTCTTGACCAAGATAACACAATAGTAGGCATGTTGTTGGTGCTTAGAAATGGTTGGTTCAATGAAGGAATACACAGCAAAGTCTTCCTTCTCTTGCTTTTGGAAATGTAGGTGGTACTCTGTTCTCTTGATCCAAAACCATTCTGAAAAGAACAGACCTTCCCTTTGGAGTTTCAGAGTGGAATTACAGGCCCAACAAGGGACCCAGAACTTTTTTTTTTAAAGAAATGCACCCAACCCAAAACTGTCCCGCCACTTCCCTCTGCCCCATCATTAATCATGCCGAGGATAATGCTGTACCATTAATTCAAGAGTTTGTGGAGGTATTTTTTTCTCTCCATCTTTTTCTCCTTTCTTTCTCCCTTCCCCTTGCTGCCAAAAAAAAGGGGGGGGCGGTGGCGGACTGGGGGTGGGAGGGGGCTGGTCTGGAAAGGTGAAGATGTTCTCAGACAATCATATTACCATATTCCAACAATCGCAATTTGCAAAATAGTAATCACAGCTCCCAGGATCCGGGGCTGGGGTTGGGGGTTGGGAGCATTAATCAAAGCCACAGGTTTAATTCCATTTTAAATATTGATGAAATGTGCTCCCCGGCAGCCTCACCCTGGCGTGGCAGGGCCAGGGGATTGGGGCAATGGTAGATGGTGCCTGGGAGGTGGAGGGAGTGCCGGGGAGCAGCTGCTGGCAGGGGAGGCATCTGCGATTCAAATTGGTGGCTCGGCAGCCAGGTAGAGAGTGAAGGGGGTAGTGAAGAGGGCTGTTAAGTCCATGGCTGTCAATTTGGAACCATCAGGGAGGGGCCCGAGGACTGGTTGAGCACAATAAACCCAGTTTGTCTGGTTTCAGGGGTTACCGCTGAAGAGGCTGCAGCTGCACTGATTCCAATAGCCTGGAGACTTCAGAACTGTAATTAGCAGCCAGGCTGCTCACAGCGTGGCAAAAGTGGGCTCCACCAGCACTTAACTCCTTGTGTGCTGACGCATCCCCCGCCGCGCTCCCCACCCGTCCCCACCTCCCTCCACAACCCCTGTTTTCCCAGCCTCAGGAGGAACTCCAAGGCAGCCTGTCTGGGGGTTGGGAAGCCAAGGTCCACAGGCAGGACAGGTCAGTCAGCAAGTCTTTTCCTTGAGGTTGCTTGTAGAGCAATAGGGGGGCGGGGGTCAGGGGTGGGGCTAGTTCTGTGCTGGCAGCCCCGGCTCTTAGTACCACCTAGGACCAACCTAGTGTCTGCCCCCCCCCCACCCAGGGGTGATAAGTCAGGCCTGTAGAACTCAAAGAGCTTTGGTTCAAATCGTGTTGGCCATGATCTGGGATGGCATTCAGCCCTGTGGCAGAATGGGGTCCCCTCCCTTATACCACGGGCTACTGCCAGATCCCATGAGCGCAGTGTTCGCCACACCCTGGGTACACCACAGGCTGTGCATGAGTTATCACCTCCCTGCACCACCTGCGCCTGATGCTGTTCACAGCCCAGCAGGTGTCCCTGGGCACTGGAATTCAACTGGAGAGCAGCTCTTCATGCACACTTTGTGCCCCAGCATCCACCATTCATTTCCCTCTCTTAGGCGCAAGGCTGGGCATGGGGGAAGGACTCTAGGCACTTGAGGCAGGAAAGAACGGGGCCAGGAGTGAGATGAGCACACAGAAAGGCCAAGAGCAGGGTCACTGATCCTGCGCTGACTTTGTCCAGTAGCTACCAGCAAAGCCACTCTCATCGGAGATTGTTCCCTGCACCATGAAGGGGTGTGCCCATGAATCTGTCCTAGAACTGCAAGCAGGGAGTGGAGAAGGCCTCTATGTCCTCCCCTGGGAGGATGCATGGTCAAGTGTTACGGAGCCAGACTTGACACAACAGCAGGTGTGTGTGAGGCCTCTGCAGGGAGACGTGCTGCGAGTGCAGCAGCCAGCGCGACAAGGTGAAATCCACAGCACAGGGTCACCTCTGCACAGTACGTGAAATATGCACCCTACCCAAAGCCCAGTACACATCCTAAACAGCCGGGGACATCCTGCCATTGGGCTGGGTCCTTGTGGTGGTGGAGAATGGAGTGGAGCTCAGAGGGGGAGAGTGGGGTAGAGATGGGAATGGAGTGCGTCTGAAGGAGGAGGCTGCCCAACAAAGTAATGACAGTGTGCTTAGGCTGAAAGATTCAAAGTTTGGAAAACATCCTAGGTTCAGCCCAGGCTGTCCTGATCCTATGTCTTTGGCTGTGAACAAGCAACTCCACCCCAGGAGTCCTGTTTGTTGGCTCATTTGTCCAAATAACGAGAGACAATCTGCCTGTTGGGAGCTGCTTAAGGGTCAGCTCTGTGCCCCTCCTCTCCACTGAGGGGTCTGAGGAAGCAGAGGCCGCTAGATACTGCAGAAGCCCTAGTTAGGTTTGGGAAAGAGGTGGTCAAGAATAGGGAGCCCTCAGGGCAATGCGAATCAGTGTCTGGCTGGTGGGGACAGCTGTTATCAAAACATCAGGAAAGCCAGGGAGGACATGGCAGGAAATGAGTGCAAGTTAGTTGCAGCCACACTGGAGGACAGACTAAAAACTAAAATCAGATCTACCAGCCACCCCACCTCTGGGTATGGAGCCAAGGGAAGTGAGCTCAGTACATCAAAGACATCCCCACACCCCATGTTCACTGCTGCTCAGGGCACAAAATAACGGGGGTGGGTATAATGTAGGTGAATGGTACGCAAGACGTGGTGTATTGACATAGTGAAATATTAAGCAGCTAAAGAAAACAGGAGTGGAATCCTGACATTTGCAGCAAAAGGGACGGAACTAGAGAACACTCGTGTTAAGTCAAACACAAGAAAGACGAATACCACATGTTTTCCTCGTATGTACAAGTTCAGAAACTATCAGACTAGTGGCTAACCACTCTACTAATAGAGAACTGGAAAAGAGAGAGGGACGCAGATGGAGGCTGGATAATGGGTGCCAATGTGCAGTGAGATGGAAGGTCTCTTGTGGCTCAGCACACTCGGGGGGCTGCTGATCACATGGCGGGGTACATGCTGTAGAAGCAACTGGCTGATAGGAACTGGCAGGCTCCACACGAGGGAGGGAGCAGGGGAGGCAGATGGCCTATTTGATCAGTTGGCACCATATGCATTTATCGAAATAAGAATGACATATTCCTCAAAAGTGGAAAAATCAGCAAGTAGGGGTTGGCACTGCAGTGCTGCAGGTTGAAGCACCACTTGAACACACACATCCCATAGCAGAGAGCCTGGACAAGTCCTAGCTACTCTGCTTCTGATCCAGCTTCTAGCTAATGTACCTTGGAGGCAGTGGAAGATGGATCAAGCACTTGACTTCCTGCCACCTCGATGCGAGACCCAGGTGGACTTCCTGACTCCTGGCTTTGGCCTGGCCGAGCCTAGCCCAGCCTTAGCTATCACAGGCATCTGGGGAGTAAACCAGAGCATGGCACATTTCCTTCTCTCTCCATCTCTTTTCACTCTGCCTTCCAAATAAGTATGTAATAAATAGGAGTGGGGATTTGTTACATCCTGGAATACACTGCTTGGAAAGCGCACATACTGAAGTGTCTAGGTTTGGGTCACAGCTCCAATTCTGATCCAGTTTCCTTCTAATACACACCCAGAGGGCAGCAGACGAAGGCTCAAGTAGTGGGGCCCCTGCTGTCCATATGGGAGACCCAGATTAAGTTCTGGGATGCTGGCTTTGGCCTGGCCCAGCCTTGGCTGTTTGGGGTTTCTACTGAGTGAACCAGCTGATGGAAGATTTCTCTCTGTGTGTCCTTCAGATAGATAGGTCAAAAATAACAATGAAATAGATTTTTATAAAAGAATGGAGAATTAAGATATGACATTAGAATTTCAAGACCTTGTCTCACACCACTGCCATCAAGACCCAAGCCTGCTGTTCCAGAGGTACTACCTGTGGCACAAGGGTACTTCAGAAAGTTTGTGGAAAGTGTAATCAAAAGTTTATTTTGGTATAAAACTCTCTGAAATCATATGTAGGGGAGATTTACAAAACACCCATAGAAAGCCCATGCTATTAAAAAAGACTGGATTTTTTGGACCCAAACTCATCCTTTAAACCCATCTTTCAATGAACATATTTAGATGCCCTCAGAGGTCTTACTAGGCAAGTCCTGGGTGTGAGGCTGCTGTCGTCTGACTGCCCAGCAGAATCAGTCCAGCTCGGGCGGTCATACAGCTGTCTCCCCAAGCAGGGTCCGCAAGCAGTAATGGCCTTGTGCTCAATTTCCCCCTTGGAAACTGTAAGGATTACATCTGAGTGACAGGTCTATACCTGCCGACAGTGAGCAGAATAGAGCTGTCACCATCAGACTGGAACAGACTCCAGTCCCCAAGGCTCTGTCCTGGAGGAGGGCTCCCAGGGCAGGGCCAGCAGCAGGTGTGCCCAGCTCCTCCCCTTTGCTTACAGATGACGATGAGCACGAGTGGATCATACGGACGTGCCGGAAGGGCTGGGACCAGATCGTGGGCCACAGCCTCCAGCTCTGATCTCAGCAGCTGCCTCCTCCGATGGAGCCTTCCACCTGCCCCGCTAGCACTGGGCAGCCTCGGCCAGGCCAGACTGCACTGTTAGGACCTGGATTTTGACTAAGGAATAAAGGCTTTCTGTACCCTGTGGCCCAAGAGTGCTTTCCTTGGAAGACTGTCTCAGGGGGCATGCTTGTCTCTCCTGCATCAGAATCAGGTCATGAACTCCTAGGTTCCACCTCAGGGTTACTGGGCACAGTCTCTGTGAATGAGGCCTCTGGGGCCTTGCAGTTTGCATTTCCAGATGTTTCTTATGCAGGTGAGTGTCTGAGAACCACCACCTACAGTAGTAGTAGGCAGTAATAGAATGAGCAATAAGGGGATGCCGGCACACAGGGGCGTCATCTCCGCTCCACTCCCCAGCCTGCAGGCGAGGACCAGGCATTGGCTTTTGTTGATGAGAAATCCAAGGATCAGAGGGAGATGGCAACTTGCTTGGTCTCAGACAGTCTGACCTGAGTGCGCACTCACAAGGGGTACCTCCCTGTAGGCCTGAGAATGTTTCCCCAACTCTGTCCTTCCCTTCTGACGATTTCCCCAGAATGAGCCTGGTGCCATAGGGGGAAAAATGTGGCTTTGGCATCACCACACCTAGCTTCAAACCCCAGCCCATTGCACATGTGACCTCGGGCAAGTCACTTCTCCAAAGCTGAGTTTCCTTTTATACGAAACGGTCATGATGATATTCAAGTAGTAGAGTGGGGAAGTAGCTGGGAGGGAGGGCATCAAAAAATACAGTACAAGTAAAGCAGCTGGCATTTAGCAGGTCCTCGAGACGTGCTTCCCCACAGAATCATCAACTGTGCATGGAATCCCCACTCCAAATCACCCCCCAAGATCACACATCTCCATGGGAAATGGAAGAGGAAGCAGCAGCCCACTGCACAGACATTCCTCGGCCAAGGGTAGCCCAGATCTTCTGTGTAACTGCCCCATCCTTAGAGACTGCTTATCCTGCAGCCCCTTCAGCTGTGTCCTCAAGCGCGCTATGGAGGACACCTGGGGAAATCACCTCCTGCCCATGTCTCCAGTCGCCTGGTGAACTCAGGGCTGAGCTCTGCTGAAGGCTTCCAAACTGCGTTTTGAAAAACAGAAGTTAAGTTCATGCCAAATATATATACACACTATTGTACATGAAAAGATATCAAAATCTCTTTAAAAGGGGAGGCCAGTATGGTGGCCTAGCACCTAAAGTCCTCACCTTGAATGCGCTGGGATCCCATATGGGCACCTGTTCATGTCCTGGCAGCCCCGTTTCCCATCCAACTCCTTGCTTGTAGCCTAGGAAATCAGTCAAGGACGGCCCAAGACCCTGCACCCATGTGGGAGACCTGGAAGAAGCTCCTGGATCCTGGCTTCAGATTGGCTTAGCTCCAGCCATTGCGGTCACTTAGGGAATGAATCATTGGACAAAAAAATCTTTCCGTCTCTCCTCCTTTCTGTATATCTGACTTTCCAACAAAAATAAATAAAATCTTTAGAAAAAATCAACATTGGAAAACTAGATTGGAAGAATGCATGGAACAGGGGTGGGGCTGGGGAGTTAACAACACCAATAGACATCCTTACAGAATGGCTGACCTTGGGCACCGAGAGCTGAGATTTACAAGCAACTCAATTATAGGCAAGACCACAGCACAGTTCCACTCTGTCCCGGGAACTTGTGCTTGAACCAGAGACTCTACCACAATAAGATAGGACAACAACCAGAAAGGTGCCCTCCCTCTCACCTCTCAGGCCAAATGGCAAAGACACGGTAATACCCCACATTCTCTTGGCTTCACCTCTGTTCTTCCCTAAAGGTTGCTCTGTTCCTCCCCAGCAACGCTCCCACCTCCAAGCCGTACCTTCCTCTTTCGTGTCTATGAACCCCACACATCACAGGACCCCACTTCGGTCCCAGGAATGTGGTACAGCATGTGCCAGACGAAGGGCTCCTCCTCCGAGCCAGCAGGGTGCCCAGCAATGTGTGTGTGTCAGCAAGCTCACTGCCTGGGGAAATGCTGCCCATTTTCCAGGAAGAGCGATTCCAAAAGTACGACAGCCCAGAGACTGCGAGCCAGCGACCTCAGCCCTTAACTAGAGAGCAGGAAAAGAAATGCAATGTCATCTCCTTCTGCATTTCAGTGCCAGCACTTCTACTCGCATTAACTTTATTTATTACACAAATAAGACATTTACAAAGCACGACATGAAAGGTATGTAACAAAACAGACATTGGTTTTCAAAAAAAAAAAAGTGCTTACATTTTTTTTTCTGCGTGTGTGTTTTCCCTTTTTGTATTTAAATAAATAGTCTGGATGGCCTGCACGGTCCCCAGGCTGCTCTTAGCAGGGAGCTGGAGATGCTCTGGACTGCAACATGCTACGGCCATGTGATCCACACAAGAACCAGACCCCAGAGGCAGACTCAAGGTAGAGTGGGGTGACCCTGGACAGGGCTCAGCCAGTGCAACTGGGGCTCTGGGCATCAGGAGTGGCGGGGGTGGGTGGGGAAAGAAAAGAATGGAGCTCACCAGGCCAGGAATCACCACCCACCCCATCCACCCCGCCCTGATAATGTCAGCACCCAGGCCAGGGTCGGCACGAATCACTGCTGGGTGAGTTCTGAATGGAGCCACACCTGCTACCTTCGCAGTGGTACCTTCACTTTGCCATGGGTCGGCCGGAGCCATCTTTGGAAAGGGGAGGAAGCAGTTTCCCTTCTGGAGCCATGCCTGGGCCTAACCCTCCTCCAGGTGGCAAAGCAAGAATGGCATACAGGCTTTTCCTCTAGGTGCCAACTTCAAGCACTTGCATTCTGAAACTATCTCCAGATTTAGTGAGACAGAATGATGCCATCCATTAGTGATGTCTGCAATGGGCAAAAACAGAGACAACAGCTGCCTGCATACCATGGACTTGCTTTTCCTGTCTCCTTCCAAAAGCAATGGCATCAGTTAACCACAGCAGGAAGGACAACCTGGGCCACAGCGTGCTTACTAGCAGCCTCTAGTGGGAAATGCATCAGGATGCCAGATAGTTCTAGAATTACAGGATAAGCTCAGGACTGCTGACATCCCTGAAAACATGTGCATGGTGGCATGCAGCCCCACCCTTTTGTGTGGGATGGAAGAGCTGCGGCAGGATGGGTGGGCATGAGCACACTCAGGAGTGGGTGGGACTAGCTCTGGATAAGTCCAGAGGTGCCACCTGGGATGCTGGATGTGGCACACTCACTAGGCAGTGGACACCCCCTCATCTCCCTACACAGAGATGAATTCAGGATTAACATTCAGACCACCAAATCATTGGATTCTGTACCCTGGTATCCTGGAGAAGACCTGACCCAGACACTCTTAACAGGCACGAACAGGAGGTCAACAAGTATCCTCATCCCAACCCATGAGAACATTCCAGAGAGTCATTGCTCAGATGGATACCATCTCTGCTGTGTCCCCTGCAAATGTGATAGAGAATCAGGTGAGGGTAGGTCTCCCTGTAACACACCGAGCTTTCTCTTCCCTCCCTGGGAAAGGGTTACGGTGCTTCCTCTCAGGCCATGAGCCAAGCGCTTGTCTCCATCTCCTTTTCTGCTCCCCCACCTCCCACCACCTCTCCTCCTGCCTCTAGGTTTGGGCAGGCCCCCATCTCCGCCCTATTGGGCCTCTTGTGGTTGGTCAGTGTCTCTTCTCTTTCTGAATTAACTTGACATAACCAGACAGATGGAAATGATAAAATTAGAACATAGCTGTCCTTTGGGGGACATCCCACAGACACTGTAGAGTTTTCCAGACAAAAGCAACAGAGTGGAGAACATTGAGGGGTTGTCAGCTATTCAGAACTCCGAGATGGCTCCAAGGAAGTGTAAATAAAGGCCAGGATTGGGGGGAAGAAAACCTGTAAACCAGAAGCCTGTTGGTGTTGTATGATTCCATTTTGCCTTTTTGCTATTGTGATGGGCTTCAGTTGAAGATGATTCTCATGTAAATGGAAAACACAGGCTGTTGCTGGCACCCTGAGTCCAAATCTCAGGGTGGTCTGCCTTCCAAGAGGACAGCGATGCTCCTGGTGGGTTCTGGATCTCAGCAGGAGAGGGGAAGGCCAGGCCTGGGGGGCCGAACTGGTGGTGGGCAGGACGGAGGGCGGGGTGGATGCAGAGGCAGCTGGATCCCCGGCCATGGCTCGGACGCTGGAGGTCAGCGGCTGAGGGGCAGCTGGCAGGTGCCCGTGGACAGATGCGGAAGTGTTGGCAGTGTTAGTACTGGAAAAGGATAACCTGAAAGAGGAGGGTGGGAGGGGGCTGAGCATCCAGCAGCACCCCCAGACAGGGTTCTGGGTCTGGATTGACACCTTGACTCTGGCAGCCTGCTGGACGATTCAGCTGCCCTCTCTGAGTCTGACTTCTCCCCTGGGAGGCCGCAGGGAGGGACGATGCTGGGCACATTACTGGGAGCCCTCTGGGCTCTGCTCCACAGCTCTTCAAGACACCTCCATGTGGCAAGCAGGGAGGGCACGAGGCTCAGAGTGGTGCAACAACGTGACTGAGTCCAAACCTCAGGGCCAAGGAGCAGAGAGCACAATGACACTAGGCCCACAACACGCCATGCCTCCACACCACCCAGGCTCCACAGCACCAGCCACTGACAGATGGCTCAAGACCCGCAAGACTGCAGGTGTACCCTTCAAGCTTCCCAAAGCATCCCCAGGAGCCTGGCCCACAGTGGGTGAGCAGGGCCATTTGCCGCTCCCCTTCTCCCTCTTCCACCTAAGCTGCCTGGCTGCTGTCTCGCAGCCAACAATACAGCAAGATCCATGAAGTTCAAGTCCGTGGGCCATCAGTACCAGCTGGTCAGTGGGATGTGCCTTTACACAGTGGCATAGGGAGGAGGTTGCCAGGGTTTCCAGGGTCTGAGTACTTCTGGTAGATACAACCATATAGCCTTTCGGTTTTCTGATCAGAAATTGTTACCTGCTTGGGATGGGTCGCCATGGGGAGGTGACAGAAGAAATGATGACTCCATGACAGCCCAGGAGTCCCCCTTATCCATGGTTTCAGTCACCTAAAGTCAACCATGGTCCAAAAATATCAATATTTTCTTAATTCTTTCAATAGCCCACATTGGCATGACTTTTTCAATAGGGCAGTGTAAAAAATTATTCCATCTCATTATTGATATGGTTGTTCATCTCCCTCTGTGCTTAGTTTATAACGTATCACAGGAAATCACCTGAAACATACATTAGGCCTGGGTGTGATTCCACAGCTTCAGCTACCCATGGTGGGTCCTGGCACCTGCCTGTGAGGACATGGGGACCACTGTAGTCACAGCGAGCCCAACACCAGTGGTTCACTGCCTGTGTATGGGCTCTGCGCGAGGCTCTCACACATAGGGTTGCACTCACTTTTCAATAAGAACTGTTCTTATCCTCCACTTTGTGGAAACTGAACCTCTGAACAGCTGGCTGAATCCCTAAACAGGGGAAGCTGGTCCAGCTGTGTGTGGCTTTGCTGACAGTATCATCTGACCCTGGCCTCTGGACATCTGGCCTGAGATCTTACTAAAAGATAGCATCTCAGGACAGCGTTGTGGCGCAGCCACTTAAGCCTCCACCTGAGCCTCCAGCATCTCATAGGATGCTGTTCCATGCTAATAGACCTAAGAAGTCAGCAGAAGAAAGCCTGAATGCTCCCACCCACATAGGAGACCCAGATGGAGTTCCTGGCTCCTGGCTTCGTTCTGGTCCAGCCTTGGCCACTGTTGGCCATCTGGGGAGCAGCAGAGAAGATCTCTCTATATCTATTTACCCATCCATCCATCTACCTACCTGCCTTTCAAATAATCAAAATAAATCTTTTGATTGACATAGCATCTTAAGAAGGATGGCTACACTCAGGTCCTTCCCTTCCAAGGGCCTCAGTGTCCACATGTGATCCCTGACAACCCTTATTTTAAGGACTTTCCAAGGACTCATGCTGTGTGATCAAGCAGCATGAGCATGAGCAGGAAGGAATGTGGTTCCAAAAATTTACAGGTGTGTGCAGCTTGATGATGAGGTAGACCACCCTGGTCTACACGAGCAAGCTCTGGACCAGCCAGACGGGCAGTGTGTGGCTTGCCAGCTCAGTCCTAGAGGGACTTGGCAGGGAAAGCCCAGGTGGTCTGGGCCTGCAGCCCTGCAGGGTGTGAGGGCTCAGCGAGCCATGGGGAGGCGTGAAGTGGGACAGAGGAGGATGTACATGAACCATGAGCTCCTATACATCCAGCTGAGGACACGGCCTGGCCAGAGGAACTGTGGCCCCCAAGGTCCAGGACCAGGAGCTTCCTATAGGCAAAACTGCCAGAGCCCAGCCTGGCTCAGCTTCCCCACTGAAGGTACATATGTTCACAACAAACTTTGCTAGGCTACCAAGACAAGGGCTCTTCTCAAGGCACCAAGCCCAGCCCTGCCCTGTATATAATGGCCACGGTCATACCCTTCATTATGTGGCAACTGTCAACAGACTTACCTCCCTGGGCTCTTGCCACACCCCTTGTGGCTCCTCCATGCTACCTGCCCTCGCACCCTCTGATCTCCCGCCCTGGAGTGCCTTTCCTCTCCTGCTCCTCCCTGGCAACTTGTCACTCCTACTTCTGGAGCTTCTGTCCCAACTTTCCCTTGCCTGTTCCCCTGCAGGTGCAGAATGCCAAGGGCCATGGCAACTCCCTGCTGCAGCACTGTACAAGAGACGCATGCTCTCCTGCAGGAAGGGGACCACCCTGACACAGGCGGTCCTAGGGTCAAGGCTTCTGGGGAGGACCCTGGTCAAGCCACTGCCCTGTCTGAGCACAGCCACCCCCACAGACAGAGCACCGAATGAACCATCAGGGGCTTTAGAAGGAAGTGAGCAGAGACCTGTGCAAGCTGTATAGCAGCATCAACCCTGCAGCCCTGGACAGAGGACATGTTGTCTCTCTAAACCTCATTTTCCTCTTTCTAAGAAAGGCCATTCCCTCGTTCACAAAGTTACAGTCAAGTGCCTGCCTCCAACAGAGGAGGAGCACCCTTGAACGTGACAGCCATGGAGGGATGTCCCTGAGTGTACTTGCCCACCAGCAGCTCTGCAGGATTCCACCATGTGCTTACAGCCCAACCAATGCAACCATGCTATCAGCATCTCCATACCACCTATGGTCTCTCGTGGGGCCCAGCATGGAGTAAGCAGAACACAGGCACCAGCCTGGAAGAATATATCCTGCCAACTGTCCCCTTCAGAACCGCATGGGCTGGGATCTCTGAGCCCCTCGTCGGGCCTCCCTAGCAGACTCTGCAATTCTGCATCTTTGCAAGCTACCCAGCTGAATCTGAGGCTGCACCAGACCAGGAACCACCAGGGACTCCTCCAGCTGCTCCCCCCAAATGGCTACACTCGCCCCACCCTCTTAACACCCTCACAAGGATGTTTCTGAAACAGGCATTCCAGGACCTCCATGCCCCAGGACAAAGCCCAGCTCCTCCACCTGGCGACATTAAGCCTCTCTCCCCAGATTTTTCACTGAACTTGGCCCAAGGCTGTGTGCCAGAGGCCCTGATGGCTCCGGGTTCCCCAGCAGCTGCGCTGGCTAGTGATTACCATGTACATCTGACCTCGCCTTTGGGTATCCTTTGCCTGCTAGCCCCTCTTCCAAGCTCCTGCATCTCCCCACCCCCCACCCTGTTGCCACACCACAGCTTGAGCTCTCTGTTGGACCTGTCCCGACTGGGAGCCCAGACGGTGACCTCCTCAAGGGCAGGGGCCACATTTTGTTCCTCCCTGTGTTCCTAGCAGTGTGCTCAGGGGAGCTGAGCATAGTCAGTAGGTAGGAAATACCTCTCAGCACGTGAATGGGTGAGTGAATGCACAGGCTCCCATCCAGGCTCTGACCTTTGAAAACTGTGGCCTCAAAGTTCTCACTTCTAACATGAAGGGCTAACCAAGTGGTGTCTGGGAGCTGAGAGGGAAGGTATGAGGCCCCTGCCCCTCCAAGTTCCACCCAGGCTTACAAAACCAGGCCTCCCAGCCTTGCACCCTCAGGGGCTTTGGTCTATTGCTCCAGACAGCCAGAAGTGGATCCTATCCCTTATATGAAGCCTTGTTGGGCTCCTACCCCTGGCCTCTGCTCCCCACCCCATGCTGGGGATGTTCTCTCCCAAAAGGCAGGAAAGAAAAGAAAGAAGTTGGAGGCGGAGTGGGATGTGTTTAAGACCATGCCTGGAACCCCAACACTTGAGACCAGATTTACAAATATGGAAAGAGAAGGCTAAATGGTTTGTGGGCACTGCAAGAAAACCCCTGGAGCAGTCTGGGCACACAGAACACACCAGCAGGTGCCACGTCACTTGAGTGGGGTTCTGAACAGAGAGGCTCTGCCATACAGTGGTGCAGTACCCACTCCATGATGGTGGAACACTGGCAGAAACCCATCCCCCATGGGATGGCTCCCACCCCACTAGACCCCAGCTGGCTCCATTTACCTTCTCACCCCGGTTGGAGAGCGGCCCATCCATATCCGCTTTGAGGTGGACAGGGGGTGCGGTGTAAGGCAGCCGGCAGTGCACCTGCCCGCACTGTACCTGACCTGTGGACAAGAGGATGCCTTGGAGCCCATCCCCCCAGGTGGCTCCCCTCAGGATCCCACCCTGCCCCTGCAAGCTGCAGTCCCAAGACCAGTTTCATCTTGGCCCACTTAATCAACTGGGCGACCCTGGGCAAGACTTCAGGATTGCCTGTGGTGCTGTATAGGAAGGGCTTTGGAACATGTATATGGCTGAGCGCAACCTCCCACCCGTTGACCATCACTCCTCTGTGAACAAGCAAGGACCACTACCTGCAAGAAGGCCACACCCCTTCTGCTCAGATGCTCCTGGGGTTCCTCCTGTGTCCTCAACTCCTGGGCATCTGCTAGATGACTCTGCACTCCTAAGTCACTGCCTGTTTACACTGCAACCCAGCCCTTACCCCTTGGCCTCACCTCCCCAGGGTTTCCAGGTGGTTTTATCTTTCTTCCTTAACACTTGGGTCATTGGGTATCATCTGCCTTTGCCAATTAAAGAGCATGAACTTTGTGGGGGCAGGGATTTGTCATTTGTCTTCTAGATCCAAATCTTCACAGGTTCTAGGATTTTAAATGAGGCCTGGTCTCTACCATGCACTCTCAATACTTGTCAAATGAGGTTCGTATTCTGTTCCAGCATCCACAATGGTCCATCATTTTGTCTATCCCAAATCTCTCCTGCTTCAGCCTGTTACCATGACAGAGAGCAGAAGTCTGCTGCCTGCCTCTTCCCTAGATTTTTGTCTTCCTTGGGTCATAGGGAAAGAGCCTATGTAGAGATTCATAATCGAAGAGAACTTGAGACAGGTCATGGTGGCTATGAGCCAGGGTTTTCCCTCCAATAGGAGAAAGCAGTCACGTTATAACTTGGGGTTGTGAACATGGGCTGATCATGGAATTCCTGCCCCAAATTATTTTGGAAAACCACATGTGAAGGGTCTTTGAAGAGTCTCTAGAAAGTACTTAGTACAAAAAAAAAAGGTGCATGGATTTCAAAATATTTTTTGGCATCAGAATGAACTTAGCTTTTAATTTCACTTTTCAACATCACTTCTCAAAATACCTTCATCTGCTTGCGCATTTTTCTGAAATCTGTTTCCAAAGCCTCTATCAGACCCAAACGCTAAGTTTTCAGAAAACTGAGGACCTTGTCACTTCAACTGACTGCAAAGTTCACTTTTTTTAGAGTCTGGTTCTAACCCATTCTCATCAGTTCCCCAGCTCTACCACTTCAGAAAACCCAAGATCCATAAAGCAAATGGCTGAGATACAGACATCCCCACCATTTCCTTCTCTGAGCTGGGTTCCCACACGTGGGGAAGAGGAGAGGGTACCCCAAGCACTTCGCTAGGCATCAAAAAGTCTAGGTTGGGTCAACAGAGCAGGTAGACAGAGTCTAGGCAGGAATTCTAGGGGTCCTGGCTACAATGCCAAGAGGGCCACCTGGATCCAAGTATTAGATAGTGGCCCTGATCCCTCTGATCCTTGGTGCCTTTACCAGGTGCATCTTGAGCATCAATCACTATTTAGAAAGGGGGACAGACACTCCTCTTAGAGCACAGGATTCAGAAATGGAGCATTAGCAGTCAGTGCTTCTCCAGCTCTAACTAACATGTGGACGATTTCCTTCAGTTCTCGTCAGATGCTCACCACACCGCTTTAAGACGGGCTCTCTTGTTGTGCTCAGTTGAAGAGATGCACCAGGGAAACTAAGAAATTCATTCAGTGTGGCACAGCTAACAAGTGGCAAGGGCGGCGTCTGCAGCCCAGGTGATCGATCAAGAATCCTGGCTTATGGTGAGCCCCTGGGAGCCTCATCCATGGAATCCAACTGTGACCTCTGGGATTTAGAAATCCTCCTAGGGTCCCAGGGTGGTGTCTGGCTTGTGCCAGCAGCCCTCCCTCAGCGCTCCTTTGTGCGTCCCTTTCACATGGAGCCAGAGAAGGGAAGATGTGTGTGATCATCACTTCCAGTGTTCAATCCTGTCCAGCTTGGAGGAAACACTGAAGCACACCGCCTCAGAGGGAAAACAAATCCGGGCTATGCTCCTGCTCGGTGGCAGATTCCCTACCCCCAAAGCTACTCCTGTCTCTCCTCCAAGTCGCTGCTCAGGGGTCCGCAAGTCTCCCTCTTACGGTTCCTTACTCCCCAGCGTGCCTGCCTCCTCGTTTCACAGTCTGTTTGCTCTCCACTGACCTCCTGCTCCACAACAGGGACTCCAACAGCAAGGCAGCGTTGGCTCTGAGCCCAGGGCTAAGAGCAGAGAGTCAGTGAACAGAATGCTGGGGTGCATGGGGCGGGGGAACCCTCACCCCCTGGGAAACAGGTGCTGGTGACTTGCTGGTTCATTGAGGCTCCAGGAGGGCAAGGGACTTGTCCAAGGTCTCAGAGCTGGGGGGCTCCCCAAACATCACTCCAAGTGCCCATTCCACGTGCCTCCCCAAAGCCTGTGCCCCTCCTCAGCTTGCAGAGATGAGGCTGCCATCTCAACTCCCCACGGGAACCACCACCACGCAAGCCACACCCTCCTCCGTCTGGGTCTCCATCTGTCCAGGACAGGAACCTTGCACAGCCTGTCCTGGCACAGGCGCTGGCCAAGGGCTACCCTGCGTTAAAGCCTTGCTCTCTTTCACAGCTTCGAGGTCCTCTACGAAGCTCCGTGGGACCATCCACGCCTCCTCCCACCCCTTTCCCGGCGGCCTCCAGAGTCGCGGTCACTTACTCTCGATGTAGCCGTGCAGGGTGACCATGCGCGCCCGCTCGGGGCTGCTGAACGGGGAGTAGTGGATGTCCTCGGACAGGGCGGAGGGGAGGCGAGAGGGCGGCGCCCCCGAGGGCGGCACCGGATGCTGCGGCGTGTGCTTTTTATGCCGTGCCCGGCAGTTTTGAAACCACACCTGCAACGACAGCCTCGGAAGCCTTAGCGCGCTCCAAACGCGCCCCTGAAAGCCCGAAGAAGCGCAGCCTCGTGCATCCCGTTAGTCCCGCCCCGTTCCAGCCCAAGGGCCCCACCTGGATGACCCTCCGGCTGAGGCCCGTCATGTCCGCCAACTTCTGCAGCGTCTGCGCGTCGGGATTGTTGTCCTGCGCGAACTGCGCCTGCATAACCTGCGGGGCGCGGAGGCAGCCGGTGAGGCCGCTGCGCGCGTCCAGGCCTCCGGGACCCCGACCCAATCGGAGGCCTCGGCCCGGAGGCCACGCCCAAGCAACGCCGGTCCCGCCCCGCCGCGCCCCCCACCCACCACGCGGGTCCAGCAGGAGGGCGGGGCCAGAAGGTGCCGAGGTCCCGCCCACGCCCGCCCAGGTACCTGCAGCTGCTCGGCGGTGAAGGATGTTCGTGCGCGCTTGGCCGGCTTGGGTTGACTGTCCTGTTCCGAGGGCACTGCCCCCTCCAACGTGAGGCCGTTCCCTGGGGGCGACAGAAGCGGCTGACCACGCGTCCCCATCTCTTCTAATGGCAGCCTGGAAAGGACGGGGGTGGGGGGAGCTTGTCCCTGGAAGGGTCAGGAGCGGAGTTGGCTGGGAGCGGGGATCCCAGGGCCCTAGTCCGTGACTCCGGGTCTGTGGGGAGGGTGGGCAGCTTCTGAGCGTCCCCTTGGTGCCGAGCGCTTTTTATTCTGTGTTTCTAACATCTCACAGCTAAGCACGTGGGGGCATGGTCCCTATTTTGCGTCGGAGGAAATGGACACAAGCGGACCGCACACCTTAGGAACTCGCATAGGGAAGGGGCAGGTCAGGTTCCCTGAGATGGGGCTGGGACAGCCAAAGGCTGAGGACAGGAAGCAGGCAGGTGACAGAACCGCGACCCGCCCCCCAATTTTGTAAAAACACGTGGAAGAAAAAAAAAATTGGAAGGAACTGCTCCAAAGTGTGTGTTAGCTGTGGTTTACCTCCGGGGAAGCTCTCGACTTGTAACCTTTTTGTGACTTTTGAAGCCTTTTCGGCAATCACACGTCACCTCCTCTGACTTTTATAAACTTGGAAAATCTATTGAGTATTCTCTTTCCACTTATCTTGCTTTTGCAATCATACTAAATCCCTAAATCTGTTCCCATTTTATTTTCTAATACCCCTTTTCAGAATGCAAAAATATGTAACAATCTTATTTGTTAAAACTCAGAAAATTCCGATAAACACAAAGAAGGAAATAAAAATTACCAGTAATTCTCCCACTCAGAGATAACCACCGCTCACAATTTATAGTAATTTTTTTAATTAGAAAAAAATTATGTTGAAGGGAAAAATAAGTACCCCAATGTACATGGAAAAATCTGGAAAGATAAACGCGGAGAGCTGAGGGGAGGTGATGATTTGATGTGATCTTGTTGCCTAACCATCATTTTTTTTTCTATGAGGAGTATGTGAGTGTGTGTGTTGTGCTTAAATGGGAAAGCAGTAGCCAATACTGAGGGCCGGTTAGTAGGGAAATCTGAGGCCCCAGGCACTCAAGTTCTCCCTACATGGAAGGAGTCTGGGTTTAGCTAGGGTTGTGAAAGCTGACTGGCAAGGCCATGGCCTCGGGCAGTCCTGGCTGGTCTAGGTGTGGTCTGTGATTACTAATGGGCCATGGTGTAGCAGAAGCTGTCTCTGACTCCACTGCTGACTTGCCCACAGACAATTACATAGCACCCCCAAGTTCACTTGACTCTCCAGCTAGCCTCACACAGCTCTGACCCAGGAGAAAGGAATGCCTGTGGTGCGGCACAGTCGGGAAACTTGGTGGTCCCTGACCCCGTGGTGCGATTGGAGATGGGGCAGGCACTCCATGGTAGTCATGCTCCTTGAGGAAGCAGGTGGCCAGAGGGGTGCTGAACTCATCTATTAGGTAAGAAGATGAAACATGGTGGCAGCCACATCCCAACCACCAGCCTGGCTTGACCTACTCTGACCAAAGGGTCCTGAAACTTAGGGACAAGTGGTACAACACCGTGTGGTTTGGTCATTAAGAACCTGGGCTCTGGAGTCAGGCCAACCTACCGCCATTGTAAGCATTATATAAACTAATCCAAACAGCTGAGGCTCTAGCAGCTTCCACAGACCTTGCCCAGGGAATTATGGAAAGCATCCTTGCCTCAGCCCTAGCCCCACCTGTGACTCTGCCCTCAAGATCTTTGAGGACCTGAAGCCTGTCCTTGATGTGTTACAAAGTCACAGTCTCACAGCCACACGAGATTGAGAGATGATTCTAGTCCATGTTGGCAGCATAGCACTCCATAACAGCCATGTATCTGTAAAGCCCTTTTCTGCTTAAAATTAAAGAGAGCCCTGCCCAAGAGCCCCTCTGGAGCCTCCAGCTGGAAGTTTCTGGGATAGGAACTGGGAGATGAGGCCAGGGAATCTCACTGTTTCCAGGCAAGCGGAAGCAGGGAGATTCAGGGCCAGCGTGACCAGAACTGAGGTGCAGGAGGCTGCCCCGTTTGCACAATGACCATTAGAGTTCTCTGGGTGCTGCCCAGGCCTTTCCAAAGCACCTGCTCATCTCTCCAGATGGTTTTGTCACAAGCCCATTGTGCAGATATCGATACAGTTGCCAGTGCTGACTTCCAGCTTGCCAGAAGTGCACCCTTCCAGCGACCTCGACCTCCCCTATGCTGCCTGCGGGTGCTGTAGGGATTCCCCTCCCCCATGAGCCCCCTTGTTCTTCCAGCAGTGCGGGTGGTCCCTGGGGAGCTGAAGTGGGATGGGGAAGGGCTGGGGGCTGGTGGAGTGGGTACCGTTCTCGGCGGCCCTTTTGAGGTTCTCGATCATGGTGTCGTAGTGGATGCGGCACAGCACCTTCTCCTCCACCAGGCCAAACTCCTCGCCGGTGGACAGCTGGCGTTTGCAAGAGAAGCAGGCAAAGCAGGCCAGGTGATAGGCATTGCCACGTGCCCGCCGCACCCAGTCGCTGGCGTATATCTGCCGGCCGCAGCGGGCGCACTTGGTCCCAAATCGGCTGTAGGAAGAGAAAGGGAAGGGGCAGGATGGGGTGGGAAGGCTCAGAGCGGGCTTCCCATCTTCCCTCCAACCCCCAATGGCGTGCTGGGCCCTGGTCTTCATTCACCTTCTCTTTTCTCCAGAAGCAGCCCCCTAACAACCACTTATAGTGAGCTGCTTTTCTGTTTCCCCAAATGGTCTGCAAGGATCTCATCTGTAATGGCCTTATATGCTGATTTCTTCTAAAGTATATCCCATGTTCCGGCTTTCTGCTAACATCCCCAGGATACAGCAAATGATGACCCAGGTCCCTGCCACCCACATGAGAGACCTGAACAAAGTTCCTGGTCCCCGGCTTCAACCTGCTCTAGCTCTGGCTGTTGGAGACATTTGAAAAGTGAACAATTAGCTGGAACCCGCCCCCCATCTCCATTTTAAGTAAAAATAAACAAATCTTTAAGAAGAATGCATTGTGTAGAGAAACATAATGATAATGGAAAACATTTTGAGGACTTGCCTCGTGCCCACTAAGATTTGAAATGCTATATGTAAGTGACTCAATCAATCTTTATTTTGCAAGTGATAAAAACGGGAACCAGAGAAGTTGCACAAGGTCACAGAGCTCTCATAAGTAAGAAGCAGAGTTCTGTGAGCAAATAACTTCAGTCCCAGAAAATTCCCAGTTTCTGGGAAGAACAGTCAAGCGTGCGCTTACTGGCTGTGACCCCAAGCAAATTGCTGAGCTCCTTGGAGCTCCTGAGCTCCGTCCTCAGGCCACAGTAACACTGTAATCATTTCTTCAGTGTTCTGCAGTCCCCAAGTACCCAGCTAGTCCCTGACTCTGGGGACCAAAAGGACAAAGACAACACCCAAAACACCAGACCAAGCATCCCTTTGTCCAGTCTGTGGTTATTCTCTGCCTCCCCTTTGCAGTGTGGCTTTGTGGGTGCAGCTGCCGGAGGAGGAGAGTCAGCACAGAGCCTGGTCCCTGGGCGCCAGATGTCAGTACTGTGGGTGACTCACCTAGGACACCATCCCAGTCCTCTCAGCCTGCTCCTTCTTTCATCTGCAGTTCCCAGACCAGGCTCCCCTTGCACGCCCCTCCCTGCCTTTCCTACCTCTGCCCACACTTTCTGCACTCGAAAGTTCCGGGGAAATTGCTGACATGTACACCAAACCTGGTCCTGCCCTACTTACAATCCTTTGGCCGGTCCACTATACCCTTGGGTTCTAGTTCAAGACCCTTGAAGTTTCCACTCTACCCTCGGGTTCTAGTTCAAGACCCTTGAAGTTTACAAAGCACAACACATCCTTTCCTCTGCTGGCCCACCTGTCCTCTCCCTTGCCTTTTTAAAAAGCTTCCATGCAAGAGTCCTGGTCAGCCACACTGGGAGGTCAGTCTAGGTCCTCGTGGCTGCTCTGAAATACCTTCCCACCCCAAGGCTTTCGCACAGGGGGCTTCCGCTTTACACCTGCTCTCCCCAGTCACCTTCTCCCACAGGTCAGATCCACGTACAAAATGCCAGCATTTCCTCCATTCCTGGCATTCCTGGAGGAGGAAGGGAACAGACCAAGATTGCCTGTGTTCCCAGGGCTTGCACCTTACACACTTAAGGATTTTGGAAACGCCCAGATGTGGTGGATAGAAACAGCCTGACAAAAACGACGTCGTCCAGCCGCTTCTGCCTTAGCAAATTGAAGCAACTGGCGGCTGGTGAACCGGGAATAGAGCTGTGCTGAGCGCGTGAGGGTGCAGGTTTCGGACAACCCGTTGCCTGTAGGCAAACACCCACTGCGCTCGCGGATACAGAGAGCCAGGGCAAAGGGTTCCACGCTCCCACTCCAAGGCTCGGCTTAGGCTCAACTCCCTGCGGAACGTGCCTCTGCTGCCTCAGCCCGCCCTCCCTCGGCCAAGAAGGTTCGCGATCTCAGAAACGCAGCTACTCCTGGGAAAAAACCAGCACAGCCCGGAAATCTGTTCCCAAGCTCGCAGCAAGCAAGGGGAGGAAACCGCCTTGTCCATCCCAGTCTGCTCTCGCTGCGATGCGTCCTCGGGGTCCGCGCCCCGCGTGGTGTTATCGGGATTAGAAGGGCACTTTCTGGTGTCTGAAGAGGAGGCGGCTTTCCATCTTTTGTGCTTTAGGAAGGGAGGGCAGCCAACGGAGTGCACAGCCCTCGCTGCAGGCCTGGGTCCTAGGGTGCAATGCCTTCACTATGTCCCCTCGCGTCGTCGCAACCCCCTGCACTGCGGAAGTCTGGCGCTCATTTTTCACAACTTGCCAGAGAGCGCACACGGAGCGCGGAACCCGGGTGAGACCGCCTCCCAGGTGCAAAAAAATATCCGAAACCTACAGAGCAGGCAGCGGGCCAGACGAGAAGAGCTGAGGTCTCGGGAGGATGAACAGCAGGAGGGGGCCGTCGCCCAATCTCACTCCGGTTCAGGTGCCTCTAGAGGTGGCTACTTCATCCTCAAGCTACCGGGAGAGTCCAGGCAAGAGCGGCTGAAGCCCGCGCCTGCGGTCCCGGTGCGCGCTGGGGCCCACGCGCGGGGCGCCGCTGTGCGGTGCTGGTTCCTGGTTCCTGGCGCCTGGCTCGGCGGCATTCTTCGTCCTTGGCTACCAAGGCGTAGGCGGCTTTCCGCGCAACCCTGGCCTTCCAGCAGTGCCAGTGCCTGACGCCCGAGTGCGTTCTGCGGCGCCTATCCAGGCAGGTCGCCAGGGCCCGGATCCCGGTGCTCCGAGACTGGCGCCGCAATGAGTCCCTAGACAATTTGCTGACCCTCTCTGTGCGTCAACCCCAGTGTTTGGGGGGTTGCCCCCAACACTACACTCACCCGGGCGCCGGGGCCAGGGTGCGGTGGAGGAGTCGTTCTACAGTTTGGGATGCGTCACACAACGTTTGCTGCCTCCTGTTCCTCCTATCCAGGACCAAGGGTCGGGAGCCTCAAACGAAGGGCGCCAGGAGGCTTGGGGTCTCAATTCAGACAAACAGACCGACGCCTTCGCAGACGGGCTGCGAAGCTAGAGCTACCGGTTTCCGGAAGCAGCGAAATTGGCGGCAGTGCAGACAACGAAACTTCAGGAAAAGGGTGTTGGGAAGCTGCGAAGGGAGCACCAATGGGATTGGGGCACGCCTACCACCATCCCAGTCGAGTTGTGCGGTCTGGGCTCCCCTCCCCGAGTCGTGGGCTAGGGCGCACCGCACCAAGAGCCGCGCTGGGGAGGGGGACGATGCAGAGGTCGGGGCCGCTAGATGCGCATCCTCTTCCCTGCAGAAAGGGATAGAGTAGGCATCGCGTGCCACACAGTCCTCTAGAACGTTCGAATGGGGGTTCCTTGGGCCCGATTCCCGTGGGCGCTTCCCTATAGTTGGCTGGAAAAAAAAGAGCTTCCGCGAAGGGCCCATCAGCCTCGCTCTGGTCCCTTCCCCGGCTGTTAAGTGACCCTTTTTCTGCGAGAGGAACCCGGCGCTCACAATGGGAGCACCAGAGTTAGTCCAGAAGACTGCGACGGAGGAGCCAAAATGCAAACTGGAGTTCCCACAAGCTAGGTTCCCCGCGCTCAGGGGACGGCCCTCCAGGAGGCGCACAGCAAGGGCCCTTCCCATCCCCCCTGCTCCTGCCCTTCCAGCAAATCCTTAGAAGAGGCGGGCCAAAAAAACAAAACAAAAAAAAAAAAAACACGGAACCAGCAATTAAGAGGTTAAAACGGCCCGCGCCTCGGAGGTCCCGGGCCCGAGGCCCCTCCCCCACGAGCTCCCCTCTCCGTTCCCCCAACATCTGTCCCCCAACAGCTGGCGGCCGCTGGGCCGCTCTCGGCCGCGGTGGGGGGCCGCTTCCCGGCTCCGAACGTCCCCTGGGACCCTCGCTCTGGGGGAGGGGGTGGGGTTCCTCCCGCTGGAGCGCGCCGACGGGAGTTTGAATTCGTGGCGGCAGAAAGCCAGAGCAGGCTGGGGGCTTGCCCTGAAATCTAGCGGACCAAGCCAGGAACAGGAACTTTAGCTGGTCTGGGACCTTCAGCCCTACACCCCCTCCCATGAACAATTAACCCTTTACTCCCATTCCTCCTGTCAGAAGGCCAAGAGGCTAGCTAGGGCCATGGTGACCTGACTTTTAGCCAGGACACACCCAGGCCACCCATGGAGAGTTATATGTCAGAGCATATAGTGGGTGTCCTCTATGTGAAGCTGCGGAACCTGGCCAGGGACTCTTGGGACCAGCAGGGGCACCTCTGCCTTTCCAGGGACCACATAGGGGATAAAGGGAGGGGTGACCTATTTTACCTATAGAAGGATTAGGCTAGGTAGAGTCAGGCACCCTGGAGCTTACCCAGGCTCACCACTTGTGCGACCTCACCTCCCAGGACCCCAGTTTCCACTCTCATCTTGTCAGGGTTCTGAGGATTTACCACTATGGGGTGCACCTGAGGATTAAATGGATAAGATAGGTGAACTGTGAGTTCACTTCTTGGCACCACTCCTTCTGTTCAGAGGTGTCCTCCCCCTCACCCCCCATGCTGTCACTTGTGTGTGACCCTGATTGTGTCACTGCCCGTTCTCCCAGGACATCCCATCACTCCAGGCTGCGGGGGGGGGGCAGTGGTGCCCTGTGGATCCACCCACGATCTGTGCCATGCCAGCTGGTGGGCAGGGGGAAGGGGAGGACCCTGGGAAGTTGTTTGAGGTGGTGGCTGCTAGGGGAAGTTGAGAAGGGAACCCTCCAGAAAGCAACGGTTTGTCCCCCAGCCCCTGACATTCTTTCCCTACTTTCTGAAGTGTTGGAGGGAAAGGCTCTTAGTAACAGCAACAACAAAAGAATTAAAAGCCCTACCACATTTCCTGGTTGACCACTGTCTTCTGGTAAGACTCTCGGGGAGTGAGCAGAGGTGGGACTCCAACTGGCCGGACAAGAACTACTGAGGACCCACGTGGAGACGGAATTGCAAAAACCAAAGTGGAGAACAACAACCTGGACGAAGCCACTTAGATAGGCTCCCCCTCAAGCTTCAATACAGCAAGTGAGCCCAAAGCATCCCTGGCCCTCCTTGACTGCCCCCTTCCCAGTGAACTTGCAGTTCCTTCCCAACCTCTAACTCCCTCAGGCCACCAACCCTGGCTCTGTCCAGAGACACCGAAAGAGGGTCTGTAAGAAGATGCCAAGGGAGGCGCGAGATCCTTGGTAAACCACCGCCTGGGTGGCAAGGCCAGAGGTTAGGGGATCATGGATGAGGGTTCTAAGTGTCGCAGTCCATCTCCCACCTGTACCCTCACCCCACTGGGACATCTGGCCTCTCCTTGAACAACCCAGTGTGTTAACCCCACCTCGCGCCCCGGAGCCTGAACTTGAGGAAACAGGGAAGCAGAGGTGTTTCTGTGGGTGACCCCTCCTCCTGGAGCTCCAGCTCAGGGTAAGTGGGAGCTTCCTCACAGCAGCTGTCCTCAGCCCAGGCTGCTGCCTTGAGTAGACAATAGCCCTCCTGGCACTCCGCCTGCCTGCCTGCCTGCAGCTTCTCCCCCTCTTTTTGGTGTGGGCTTAGTTATTTTTGCTCCTGGTGGGGCTGCAGGGGACGGATGGGTTCTCCCTACACTAAGCCTGGCAGAGGAAAAATGATGACCCTCTGCCCGCAACCTGGGGAATGGGAGTGTTTGTTTCCTTAACCAGAAACCTGCTTTGGTTTTTGCTTTGGGGGGCTCTTGTCCCCACTGGAAAAGCATTAGTGCTAAGAGCCTGCAGCCCAGAAATGGTGCAGCGCCATCCCTCCAGGCCCACCTGACTTCTCAAGCTGTCTGCCCATAGAACCACTGGTAGACATCAAGGCATTCAGAGATGCTGTCATTTAAAAAACCTTTTTAGAAGCTTTTCCATCCCTCCAACCCCCCATTTCCCAGCTGCTTCCTTTACACTCAAGGAGATAGTTCTGGAAAAGGCCAACTGAGGGCAGAGCGAGGCAGAGACTTGCCCAAGGTCACACGTGGCCTGACAAAGCCCAGTCCCCTGGGCTGTCCCCACAAAGGCCACACCTGCCCTCTCTCCACCCTCCTACCTGCCAGGGAACCTCCTCTGCATGTGGGAGTCTGAGCTTGAACTAGTTCTTGGATACCTGGCGAAGCAAGCTGGGTATGACAGAAGTCAAAGCTAGGACTGGGGAAGCAGGGCAGGATGTGGGCACCTGTTCCACCAGAGCGATCTCACCAGGGGAGAGATAGCTTGCCAGGAGGGCCCAGACACCACCCTACTGGGGTGTCTACACTGCAGCCCCGATCCTGGTCCAGGGATCCAAGGGACCCCAAAGCAATAGCTGGCCTATTCAAGTGGAGACAGCCCTAGAGCAGGGAGTGAAGAGACAGGGTTCTGACTTCCATTTCCTATCCCCATCAACCCAGCAGCATGGTGGGAGAGGACATCACACTTGAATTACACAAGGACACACACACGCACCCTGCAGTGCACAACCACAGATTGACATTCACATTGCACCTTTTTCTCTCAGCGCTATGTGTGTGTGTGGTGGGTGGCAGGGGGAGGGAATTGGCAGGGCCCTCAGCAAGAGTGCCCCCTTGGAGGGAAGGGCGGGGAATGAGAATAACCCAACCTCAGAAAGCCCTCCTGGCTCCACACACTCCCCCGGCTCATGCGGGAGCCAGCAGCACGTGAACGGTTGGTCCTCAGCCGGGCCCTGTCTCATGGTGCCTCCCCCAGCACCACTGTCACCCGTCACCCTGACAGCACAGGACGGCTGGCCTTGGGAGCCCTGGCTACCTGGGAGACCGTCCTTCTTGCACAACCTGCCCCCCGCCCCACGACACACATTCCCATTGTTCTATTCAGTGTGTTGCTTCAGAGACTTTATCCCAGAGTGCCCCAGCGCCCAAAGACGCAATTTCCCTGCCCTACCAACTCCGGATCCACGACTCTCTCTAGGTTCCTGGAGGCTCGGGCACTCGGATCTGGGAGGTGGGGGATGTGTCACTCACTGCCTGTCACTACATCCCCTCCACCCTCTCAGGCCCGGGTCTTCCGGGGCAAGATGCCTGCAGCGATCCATAGCTTCCCTCGAGGCCAGGCTGCGGAAGAAGTATTTGGGTTGCAGATGGTCAGAGAGGCCCAGCTTTCTCCATTTCCTGAGAAGGGTCTTGGAGGGGTCCATACCATAGCGGTCCAAACCGGTTCTCTCCGACTCCTCAGGCCCGACAGGTAGCAACGAAAGAAAGACTCGTGCTCCTGACCCTGTAGCAACCTCGACCCCCGAACCCAAAGGCCCGCGCAACGTGGCTAGCAGCAAGATGCCGGTCAACGGTCGCGCGGCAAGAGGATGCGATGGGCCGCGGCGAGAGCTGCAGAGACCGGGCGCTGAAAGCCTGTTCGGGACCTTCCACTCCCGCAGCCCTCTTCTTAGACACTCCCTGGACTCCCGGAGTCTGAAGCCCAAACCCTGGGAGACAGCGAAGCCCAGTTCTGAACTGATCGCGGAGCTGGAAGTCTGGGTCCCAGAGCTGGCAGGTTCCCGAGCGATGCTCGGGGGGGTTTAGCTGGGCTGCAGCCAGATACCCTAGGCTTGGTACGACCAAGGCACTTGGGCATGAGATCTGAGCCGGACGCAACGCTGACGTTGAGGGCTGGACCAAACAGACCAGAGCGCAGAGCCCAGCCTGAGTCAAGGCCGGCGTCCAGAGAGACCCCCGCGGGCGCGACTGGAGTGCGAGGAAGGATTGCAACCCAGAGCCCGGATGCACAAGGAGACGCAGCCAGACTGCAGCTGGGATCCGAGCGGATCGGGGCACCGGAGCCGAGAAGCCGGAGCTCGACCCAGGCGCTTTAAATTGGACCTGGAGGAGCCCGACCGAGATGAAAGCAGAGACGGAAGCCGGTGGGCCGCGCGGGCCACTGTGCCGGCCCCGCCCGCGACCCGGAGCTCTGCTCCGCCGGAGACTGCGAGTCCGGGGGCCGCGCAGTGAGTGCCTCAGCGCCCAGCCAGGGCACCCCGGGCCGCAGGGGCTTTGCAACCGGAGAGCATTGCATAACAAAGGGCACCTCGGTCTGCGCCCGGCCATACTGCCCGCGCGGCGGCCGCAGCCTACCTGAAGTAGTCCATCTTGCAGAAGATTTCCTTGTTCTTGATGTAGCAGCTGTTCTGCTGCCTCAACGACGTGCGACACACGGAGCACTCGAGACACCGCACGTGCCAGATGAGGTTGTTGACCTGGGGAGGGGGCGGGGGTGGGGGTCGGCTCAGCGCGGGCCTCAGACACGCTCATCCCCCCCCCCGCCCCCCAGCCTCCCGCGTCCCCATCTGCAGACTAGAGCCTGGAGAGCACCAGAGGCGCACTGTGCCACCGCACTGTGCCACCGCTGTTCTTCTCTAAGTCTGTGGCTCAACGACCTTAGAAATAAACTCTGCCCGAATTTGGGTGGAACCCCTCCCCCCAGGGGGTGGGGGGAGAGCAGAGAAGACCCTCTAAGCCTTGCCCCAAATCAGGGCATCGGACAGTGGCTGAGCTGGCATTCGGAATGCAGGGGTCCCGGCGCTTTGGTTGGAGCCGCAGTCCATACCCCGCCAACACACAAGTCAACACCTACCCCTGTCTCACCTTGAGCAGATATCGGTCCAGGATCTCCAGGCCACAGCTGGAGCAGATGTTCTTGCCGGCAGACGGCACGGAGGAGGCGGCAGAGGGTGGCGAGCAAACAGACGGTGTGCTGGGCGTGCAAGGGGAGGCCCGACCCTCGTCCTTGTCCAGAGCGCCTGCCAGCGCCTCGGAGTCCGACTGAGCCTACCGTAGCGGAGAGAAGGGGAGAACCGAGCACTGAGCCGGGCACCCAGCGTAGCTGCTATCCCTGCGACAAAGCTGGAACCCCGGCGCATCGGCTGACAACGAAATCTCCCCGGGACGCTGCGCCGCAGGCTGAAGGACAGGCAAGGAAGGGCCTATTGGAGGGATGGGACGGCCCCAACTTTTCACGCACGCATCCTGGGCGCCGGGAGGGGTCACAGCCCACATGCCCAGTGGGGAAAACCGAACCTCTGAGAGAGGGGCGGCGCCCGCCGGGAGTGCCCACTTCCCCACCCCTCTCCGGCGCACCCGGCAGCGGTTGGTGGCCGGAAAGCCGGGCCGAGTCCCCAGAGTTCGGCGGCTTGAGGGCCGAGACTGGGGGTAGAGGGTGCGAAGACAGGGCCGGAGGGACTCACCATGGCGGGAGGCGCAGTCCCTTCCAGACAGCGGGTGGTCGCTTTGCAGCCGGACCCTGGCTGGGCCATCACCTGGGGAGGGAGGGGGAGGGAAGGCAGGCGGCGGCGGCTGCAGAACTGGCTTGGCGCAGCCTGAGCCCAGCGCCTCCCCGCGCCTGTTATATAAACCGGCGCCGAACAATGAGTCCTAACTTTGTAGTGGGCATTTAAAGCCCTTCCCCACAAAAGCGGTGTCTCTCTAATGAAGCAATTTGAATTTGGATTGGGTTTTTTCCCTCTCTCTCCCCCTCTCCCTGCACTTAACCCGTGGCTCTTGAAGTAATCGCTTAGTTCCCTTGCAATCCAAGCCTCCGAGGGGGGAAAAAAAAACCACGCGCACACACACAAACTACCTGCAATTAGAAATTGTCGTGAATGCCCAAGATAAGAGGTAGCCAGAGTGTCAATTCCAACTGTCAATCAGTGAGATACATCAGGCCGCCCAAAGAATTGCAAATTTGATTTTTTAATGGTAGTAATTAAAAATCGAATTTTTTCTCTCTCCACCCCCCCCCCCGCCTTTTCCACGCTCTCTTCTCTCGGCACAAAATGCAAAAAGGAGAAAAGAGAGAAAATTAAAAAGAAGATTGGTGTGTGTGTGTGTGTTTGTGTGTGTGTGTGTGTGTGTGTGTGTGTGTGTGTGTGTGCGTAGTGCGGCTTTGGCGGTGGTGCTGATGGCGGGGCTGGCTAGGAAAATACGACCGGAGCGCGGGGAGCATAGGTCCGGAAAGACGCGCGTCGCGGGACCGGGGCGCGCCGTGGGCACAGATCCCCGGCGCCTCTCCAGAGCCGGTTGAAGGCAAGTCCGGAGCGAAATTGGGGCGAGATCGGGGTGAAACAGACCCAAAAGGGGGTTTAGAGCAACGTCCTAGGGGAGGCAAAAGGCCCCTGAACCCCCGGGCGCGCTCGGACGGCCCCGCGTGGAGATTCTGAGCGCTGAGCCCGCGCAGCCCCCGGCGCATCGGCGCTATCAGTGTCTATTCAGACGGACAATACCCGCCTCGCCTCCTCTTGATTCGCCTGTGTCTTTGCTAAATCGCTTTTTGAGAAATTCCTCCAACATTTGCATAATGTGTTCCCGCTTTCCGCGACCCCCACCTCCTCGCGTTCGCGCGCGCTCTCACTCACATCGCAGGCGCACCCCGCAGTCATCCTCCCTGCCGCCGCCCCCACCCGGCCCGACCCGGCAGGGCCAGCCAGACCCGACCCTGACCGCGCTCGCTCGCTCACTCACCTGGTCGGCGGCCGGGCCGCCTTCGGCAGGCAGCCGGCAGCCCTCGGGGAGCGCCGGGGCGGCGCTCTCATGCTTCCAGTACATGGGCCCCAGAGCAGTGGGCGCTGCAGGCGCTGCGGGCGCTGCGGGCGCGTGGCTCGGACAGCCGCGCCGAGTGGGGCCACGACCGTAGTGGGAGCCGCGGCTGCAGCAGGAGCAGAGGAGAGGCGCCGGCCCCGTCGCCCCGGCTCCGGCCCCAGCCCCAGCCTCCGCCCCCGCGCGCAGCCCGGGCCTCTCTGGCTGCCGGCGCCTCTGCCTCGGAAGAAGGTCCCGACAAACTTAGCGAGGTCCGGGTCCCCTCCGGGTAATCGTCGTCGTCCTCCTCCTCCTCCCCCTCCTCTTCCTCCTCCCCCTCTTTCCCTTCCTCCTCTCCCTCCTCCTCCTCCTCCTCCTCCTCCCCCTCCAGCTGCGGCGGCGGCGGCCGCCCTGCCGCTGGAGTCCCGCTCGGTTCAAGATGAGTCATGCGTGACCAATCCCCTCCCCGCTAAGGAAGAGCAAGACACACAGGGAGACAGACTCAGAGACGTGCACACACAGACACACAGACAGTGGCAGGCTATGGCACAAAGACGCTGCAGGCACACAGCCCCTCCCTACGGGGCACTCACCGCCCCGGGGCCACAGCCAGACTTGTTCACGCGTACAAAGGGGCCCCTGGGCATACCCTCCACCTAGATGGATTCTGAGTGCAGTCACCCCTGAGACTCAGCTGGTGCGTTCCCATGTCTTGCACGTTTGTGCCGCTCACACCACTCCACAGGCACCTGCACAGATGTGCCCTGCTCCCTCAGAGCCCGGAGCCTGGAGCTCCTAAAGGCTGGGTGGGTTTGGGCTGGGTGGTCGTGTGTAGGCAGAGGAGGGAAGGGGGGCTCTCTAGATTGTTAACCCACCACACCCACCAGCCCCGACATCTCTTGTTTGTTTCAGGATCTACTTAGTGGCACAGTGCAGTGCCCAATTCTCCACTTGTAGAGGTTTTCTGCTAAGGAGGGCCATGGGCTAGGCAGGATGGCCCAGGCATTGTCATAGGTGACACAGCCCCCACTGTGCAAGCACAGAATTCTGCAGGTCACAGGCAGTTACACACACACACACTCCAGAGCTTGACTCCTATGGACAGCCACAGCCTCTGCCTCTTTTTCCACACACAAACTGAGCCCATGGAGACACACCTAAAGAGGCAGATGTCATGAGCAAATACGCACATTCAGACACAGTTTTACACACACGAGAGCCCACCCCATCACACACCTCTACCATCCACTCCTTGACTGACACTCCACACAATTTTTCCTGCATTTGCTCTGCTGTTCCTGCTGGAGAGCGCACAGAGCCCACAGGGCTCCGAACCCTGGCCAACCTCACATCCTCTGCTCAGGCACTCCCAAAGACATGAGCGTGCTCAGGCACACACGCACGCACAAAAGCCCTAAGAGGGTGAGTTCAAGGTGGTTCAAGCAGAAACGGTGCACACACCCTCAAAGGTAGACTTCTAGCACACGCAGGTACACGCAGTGCAAAGGCAGGCCCTGGAACGCTGGAGACCTGCATCCTTCTCTCCCAGGACTTGGACTTCTGACCCACTGCAGACCCCTAGGGCACACGGAAGCAGTTAGGAATGTCTCTGGCTCCCTGCGTGTCAGTCACTTACTGCTCCTGGTCACAGAAATGCGGTTAGAACAGCTTCTCTGCCATCTGCAATTCCTTGTTCTAAGAACTGTATCAAAGATGTGAAAGCAGGTAGAACGCGTGTAAGCAAGTACACACACGTGCATATATCATACATATGTACCCTTGAACGTGACTGTAGACCCTCTCCTTTCAATATCTTCCTAGCACATAATGATGCCAGCCCCTAGGCCTGGGTGTTTTGCTCTGTGCTAGGCACAATGCTAAGTGTAACTGCATAGAAATGTGATTTCGGGCCCGGCGCGGTGGCGCAAGTGGTTAAAGGTCCTCGCCTTGCACGCCCGGGATCCCATATGGGCGCCGGTTCTAATCCCGGCAGCCCCGCTTCCCTTCCAGCTCCCTGCCTGTGGCCTGGGAAAAGCAGTCGAGGACGGCCCAAAGCTTTGGGACCCTGCACCCGCGTGGGAGACCCAGAAGAGGCTCCTGGCTTCGGATCGGCATAGTATCGGCCCGTTGCGCTCACTTGGGGAGTGAATCATCGGACGGAAGATCTTCCTCTCTGTCTCTCCTCTCTGTATATCCGCCTTTCCAATGAAAAAATAATAAAAATAAATCTTTAAAAAAAAAAAAAAGAAATGTGATTTCATTTTCTTTTTCTGATAACCCAAGAGGTGTCATCTGTTAAGGTACCCATTTTCCTGATGAGGAAACTGAGGGCCAGAGGGCCCATGGGACATGTCCAGCATGATACCACCTCACCAAAATTCGCCAGGGTTGAGAACTCAAAACCCAGATTCCTCTAACTTCACAACCACTTTCTGTGCATGCACACACAGAGGCGTATACACACCCCACGTCCTTCTGGTCTCGACTTACAGGTTGAGTCTGTTTCTGTTCTTGTCCTCAGTTTCCCTGCTTCCAGGGTGGCTGGGGAAATGGAGACGTCGATACACACTGTACAGCGTGCCCCTCTTCAGATAAGTGAGTGCCCGAAGACTCTGGGAAAGACGGCGAGGATCATACCCTGTGTACAAAATGTCTTCACCGAGAGGAGGCATACACTGCAACTAAAGGGCAGGTGTATTGTGGCTTGGTGTGCAGGCGCAAAGCAGGTGTTCCAGGTAGAGAGAGGGACTGTGAAGGGCAGAGGCTGTAGAAGAGCAGCTGCTGCACCCCAAGGAGGATGGATGTGAGGTGTGTGGTCTCTGAGTGACAGTAACAAGACCACAAGTACCACCTCGTGAGTATTTATGAGCCAAGCACAGTTTTACCATTCCTTTTCCTCTTCACAGTCACCCTAAAAAAAGGTTAGATTATTATCATGATGTTATAGTTGAGCAATACAAGAGCCCGATTTCAAGCTCTGCAGTCAGATTCCATCATTTAGACACTTAGGTACTCTACAAGTGTACTCCGGAATGCTGGTAAAATGTTCAACAAAGCCAAAACTGGAATGAGAGGCATTCAGCTTAGCAATGACGTACAAAGACTCAGGGCCCGGACTGCCTGGGTGCTAACCTTGGGACCATCCCTCACTCCCTGGGTAACTTGGGATGAGTTGCTCAGCCTCAGTTACCCCACCTGTGAAGGGGGGATGACAATAAAGGCCACACCTTGTGAAATGTATGCAAAGGACTCAAGTTCAAAAGTCTCAGCAGGTCCGACACACTGCAAACCAGATATACTCGCCATCATGCTGGCACCAAGTGGCCAAACTTCCCCCTTGTCACTCTGCTGGGTGCCCCGTCAGCTCTCTGATGCAGTCAGGCAAGGCATAAATCAGGGAAACAATTGGAGATTCCTCTGCACAACCTGCCAAGGGAGTCCCAGAGCCGGAACTGTATCCCAGGGCTTGCTTGAATTCCAAGAGGAAGTGAAATTCCTTCCCACATCCCCTGACTCCAGGAGGAAAGGGTTTAGATGGAAGTGACCTTGGCAAAACTAGGATGAGCAGGGTGAATATGTTCCCCTGGGATGCTTGCTGTCTCTAAGGCAGGCTGTGGACAAGTTGTTTGGTTTCTATAAGCCTAACATGCACAAGGGGAAAGCTTGATGGCCTACCTTGCAGGCTTAGGGTGACAACTAGCTACATATTAAAAACACATATTTTTGTAAGTGCTGACTCCATGCCTGCAGCTGAACTGGAACACTCAGGGATGGCATCTCCTTGTCATTTCAGTTCTCCCGGTCACTGGTGGATGTCAAGTGACCAGGCCCTTTAGGATGAATTCAGCCATCTTCTCCCACCTGTGTCAGGGCCCACAGTTTGGGTTTGAAGCAAGGCTTCATTAGTAACTGGATAATTCTGCCCACAGCCCCCAGCGGCGGTTCCGCCCCGCCGGGGAGTAATTCTAGGAAGGTAACGTGAGTGGGGGAGGCTGGCAACCCAGCTTCACATTTATTTACTCTGACAGCTAAATTGGTGAGCAAAGGGGAAATCAGATGAAAGCCATTTCAGAGTAAATCCTAAATACAAAATTTAAGCATTCGGGTTGTGACAAACAGAGAGGGGGCGGTAGGAAGAGCACTGGGATCCTGTCCTCAGCGTCTCAGCTTCCTGGGCATTTCCTGTTTGAGGAGAGAGCCCAGGCTCACTTTGAGCTGTATGACCCCAGGACAGCAATTTGCTTGTCCTGGCCCCGGTGTCCTGAGTGGTGAAATATTTGTGTTGTTTGAATCGGGGGACCTGGTAAATGACAGAAAGGGCCTTGAGGTCAGTTCTGGGGTCAGAGCCCAGTCTAACCACTTGTTGAATGATTGAACTTGGACATGTTACTGTCTGCAACTTCATATTTTCAAAGATCTATTTTTGATATGCCATGGTGCCAGCCTCCCGCATCTCCGTGTTTCTCAATTCTGAGAATGCTATCGTGTTTGGGGCAGTAAATGAGACCATCCGGCGTGGAAGGCCTTTGTAGACCTCAGAGTATACTGTAAATATGAACAGTGACGGTCATCACAAGTGTGATGTGTGGATGTCCATGGCCACATTCAGGTCAGCAAGCATGCTGGAAGCACTCTCTCCACACCAGGCTCTATACGCGACACAAGGAACCAGAGGAAGTTGTCCTGGTGCCTGCTCCTCAACAGCCATGGTCAGGTGAGGGAGGAGAGTACCCCAACACAAGTGTGTTGTGATGGGGGCTGCGCCAGAAGGGCAGAGGGATGCTTGACTTGACAGGTACAATGTTGGGGAAAGAATCTTGGAGGTGGTGGCCTTTGAGGCAAGTCCTAGGAGAAGAGTAAGTGTAAGGTCAGTGGGGACTGAGGGAAGGTAACTGGATCAGGGTGAGAGGTAGGTGCCCAGAACCAGGAAATGAGGCTGGGCAGGTGGGTAAAGGGTCAGATCACAGAGGTTGGAGTGCCGGGTTAATGAATTAGGCCCGTGCTGAAACACTGGGTTGGCAAGCCAACTGTGCAAGGATGCACAAAGGCTCAGCCTGGATTGCCTGAGTGCTAACCTTGCGATCATCCCCCACCCCAAATTACACTAGAACTTGGATTTTAGCAATCTCTTGTCTCTGCTAACACA